CGTTGGATAAGGACCTAGGGGTGTTGGTCGACAGCCAGCTAAATATGAGCCAGCAGTGTGCTCAGGTGGCCAAGAAGGCCAATAGCATCCTGGCTTGCTTCAGGAATAGTGTGGCCAGCAGGACTAAGGAAGTGATCGTCCCCCTGTACTCGGCACTGGTGAGGCCACACCTCGAGTACTGTGTTCAGTTTTGGGCCCCTCACTACAAGAAGGACATGGAGGTGCTGGAGCGTGTCCATGTCCAAAGAAGGGCAACGAAGTTGGTGAAGGGTCTAGAGAACAAGTCTTATGAGGCTGAAGAAACTGGGGTGTTTAGCCTAGAGAAAAGGAGGCTGAGGGGTCACCTTATTGCTCTCTACAACTACCTGAAAGGAGGTTGTAGCAAGGTGGGCGTCGGTCTCTTCTCCCAAGTAGCAAGTGATAAGACAAGAGGAAATGGCCTCAAGTTGCAGCAGGGGAGGTTTAGATTGGATATTAGGAAAAATTTCTTCACCGAAAGGGTTGTCAAGCTTTGGAACTGGCTGCCCAGGGAAGTGGTTGAGTCCCCATTCCTAGAGGTATTTGAAAGACGGGTAGATGTGACACTTAGGGACATGATTTAGTGGTGGACTTGGCAGTGTTAGGTTTACAGTTGGACTTGATGATCTAAAAGGTCTTTTCCAACCTAAATGATTCTATGATTCTATTAATTTTTTAAGTCTTCATTCTGCTCTTTCTCCTTAACAATTATTCCACAATTCTAATTCCTCCATCTAACCATTAGAAGAATTCAGTCCCTAATTTCTATTTCAATGCAGCTGAGAGTAGGTTTGTCTACAGTATTTTAATATAAAAGGAATATACGTGGTTTCTTATTTTGTTCTTGACGTGTAAGATTTGTTTATACAATGTAAGCATGAAAGCAAGTAGCTTCGCATGCTCATTCCTACAAGTCACTTGAATACATTAAAGTATTTTTTCCAAAGCAGTCTGTTAAGTCTAACCACAAAACCATCAAGCACAGGATTAGCTCTGTTTCAAATTAATGCAGCAGGTGGGCACATCACAGACAAACATCAGCATGGCATTCCCCAAATAGCAGTACCTTTGTCATGAACTAATAGCAGAAAAACTGCATAGCTCAAGGATGTAAAAATAGAAGCAGATCTTTTGCACGGGTCCCACACCTGGAAACAGAGCCACTTCCTATGACAGAAGCCATCCTTAGGCTGCTGAGAAAATTGTCTGAAATTGAGAAAATGCCTTTCTCTAGGGGCACTAGTCAGGACCCTTTCCTAAAAGCTGGTTTAGTTTCCTCAGTGCTGCGAAGTATGAGAAATCTTTTTGTATCATGAATCATCAGTTTCATTCTCTCCTTTTTCAGAGCAAGTCCTTTATTTTTTTTTTAAAAAAAAAAAGTATATTGTTTTAGTTTCAGGGGTTTTGCTGGGTTTTTCTTTAAAATAAGATAAACGGAGGAGCATCTTGCAGAGACAGACCTTACAGCCTGGGATGCTGCAAAACCTCTTGCTGCCATGTATTGACACAAAAATCTATCCAGTTTGAACATCCTGAGGACCAAAACATAAGAGGGGAAGAAGCACAAGGGGCTTGGGAGCGCCAGGAGCTTCTCCCTGCCTGGACCACAACCCAGCCCCAGCAGGGGAATGCAGAGGCCAGGGCTGGACCTGCCAGGGTGCAAACGCGGTTCTTCACAAGACAGATCTGGTAATGGTGACTGCAGCCCAGGCTGGTGTGGAAATATCTGGTATTCAAAGGCTCACACAGCCCTTGGCAGCTCTTGCCCTGTGGAGATGCTCAGCATGACCCTGTGTCTTTCTCCTCAGCTTGGCTGCATTTGCTCAGTGCTGAAATAAATGCATCAAACACAGCAGGGCATTGGTGGAAGGAGCAGAGGAAGAACCTGGCTGACCTCAGGCTTGTGGCAAAGAGTTGTTCAAGCACTGGCATGCAGGAAGCCACTGCCCAGAACTGGAGTCTGGGAAAAAGTATTTTGGGGAGGCCACCACATCCGACTGAGGGAAGGACTGTGTTAATCATGGCTTAGCTCTCAACTCAGTCACAGACACAAACTTGTTAAGCCTGCCAGCATAGCAGCTTCGTTGATTTAGACCTCAGAACACAATGTCTCTGTAACATAGCCCTTCTCTTCCTCCCTCCCTACGTGACCTGAAATTCATTACTGGAGGTCTGGGTTCTCCTGCAGGCTTTTTTTTAAGAACTCAGTACCTGATTTAGAAAAATCTCAGTTGGTTCACCCCAGAGGTTTCCTTCTTCAAGAGCAAAGCATCAAGATATTGAGCTGATGCGCTGGCACTAGGCTGGTTGCAACCAGGCAGCTTTGTGAAGCTTACCAAAGGAATCGCCAGCTCCTCTCTACAAAAAAGAAAATATTTCAGTTGAGGAAACATAACAAAAACAAACAAAAAAGCGTCTTTATTAGAGTGAAAATGACATCCATCATAGATGGGTTTGCTGTGATACTTGTTCTTTTTCATTTATAAAGCCTTAATTTCCCTTCTTGCAGAGTTCTGGTTTGGGCAGTTTCCAGTAACAAGGCCTCTATCGTTATCTAGACCACTGCCCTAAATTAATTTAATCTGCCCTAAATTAATTTTTAAAGAGGTTTGGGGTTTTTTAAGTAGACATAATGTTGCGCACTTTGGAAATACTTGAATATGACATGCTCTTTGCCAGTTTGTTGGGTTTTTTTAAACTGTATTCTCTATGTGAGCCATGAGATAACGTCTTTGTCACATATCCTTTTTATATTTTTAGGAGCACCTGAAAGCTTTTGACCGGGAAGTAAATGCATTTGTGGACTATATGTTTGGACCTCGAGGTAAGCTGCCCTTTTAGGAAATAATACCTATCCAGATTACCACTCAAAAATATTCTAATAAATAGAAGTAGTCGAAATCTTCTATCTGAATAATTTCTCATTGAAAAATGTAGACTAGGCAGAATCATAGTATTTGCAGGAACACACCATTATTGTAGGAAATCTATCAATGTACTGCATTTATAGAAAGCCAATAGATTTTTGTTTTGACTGTTTGACATATTATCTATAATACAAATTAAAACCAATCACAGGTGAAACAAGAAATGAAACTGATTTTTTTTTTTAAAAAAACTTTAAAAAAATCACTCCTTTGTTTCTGAGAATATCAAAGGCTTTCAGTTTTACATACTAACATAGATTTAAAAAATTGAAAGCCTGGATTTCTGAAAGTGGAAGATATGTTTTGGGACTGATTCTCATTCATAATCCAGTATTGTTTGGTCCAGCCACCTATCAAATAGCCTAACTCAGAAGGAAGCTCTGAGCAAAAGCAAGAAAGGGCTTTTAGCACCCCACAGGATCACATCCAAAATTTCAGTAAACCAAATAGACAAGGTGAGAGAACAGATGCATCTTTCTACTTCCTATTCTTGCTTTCTAAAACAGTTTGGACAAGAATAAACTTGAATAACGGTAGCTTGGAGGTACCTCATGCTTTGTTAGGACTGAAACAAGTAATAGTTAAAAACAAACAAACAAACAACTGAAGTAGGACTGCAGAAAGATAGAGAAATGCTATGGAATGTGAGGACAGAGCATCAAAGTCAGGGCTAAGAGAGCCAAGCAACTAGAGGAAAGGGCTAAGACAGGAGCTGAGACAGCAAACAGTCTTCAGAGAAGGTCCCTGTAAGGCCACCTTGCTGCTCATAGGGCTGGGCTTAAACATTCAGCTTCAGGAATAGCTTGCAAATTTTTCGCCATGGTTAAATACAGAACTGCTGCCCATGTGGATGGACATATGCTTATGTATTCTCATTTTGTTGCAATAATATCCTCCAGGTCCCAGAAGCAGCTCTTGCTTAATTAGGAGGACAAGGAAAAGAAAGCTGTAGCATTCTTAAAACCAAGAAATTCTCGTTTTTCTTAGCTGGATAGATGGCTACAAAATCTTTTCTGTCTTCTCTGCAGTAGATGTGAAGCTTGAAAGAAAGATTTGTGGTGAAGAAACACTGAACAGCTTGGGAACTGCAGAAGTAGTGATTAAAACAGAATAAGTTTTATTAATGGCTTCTACAACACTGCATTTTAATATTAACAAAGAAATGTGATCACAAGCATAAAAGTACTACTATTTTTTTTTTTCCAGTGGACGTGATGTTCTCCTTCATTCCTCTTTCCTCGTTGGTCCAGAACAAATTGTCTGAAGGAATGAACTGTAGTTAATCCAATGCAGAATACCACACAGATCCCTTTGGGCTTTTAGAAAGCACTTCAGTTAAACAAGTATTATTTGTATTGCTTGCCAAGTACATCACCATCCCTCTCCAGACATCAATGCTCAAGATAGCATTTGTTTGTCCGTGCCTCTTCACTATGATCTTTAATTTAACTGGTGGTATAATGACACAGTATCATACATTTTGAGAATAGCATAGCTCCCTCCAATGTGTTTATACATAAATAATTCACAATAAACTGCAAACAGTTTTAAATTGGATAGAATTGGATAGAATTACCCCACAAATGAAAACCTAATGAATTTCTTTAAAGCTTCCCCAAATGTCTAAACCCAACAAACCATTCCCTTCTTCCCCTCCACCAATTTTCATCCACAGTGCACACTTCATTCAGCAGCAAGATGGCTTAAAAGGACAGATAAAAGTGCTCTATTCTTTTAAAAATCAATCCCATATTTATGGTTTATATTTTAGGTAGTAACTCCTGACATACTGGTTTTAATTGCCATTACCAGATACGGCCGAGGGCACAAGAAGAGACAGAAAGCCACGCGCTAGCTCCCGGAGGCAATCTCTGCTCACGTTGGCAGTAGCTGGTTAACACAAGCTGCAGTACCGCACTACTAGAATAAGGGGCGTACTGTCAAAGATCTGAATTTGATTTCTGTATAGGCATATTTTGTGCCTTTGTTCACTGGTGTCAGCTAGGCTTTGTACACAAATTTGCCTCAATGTTTGCTTTTGAACTAGCAGACCAAGTCCTTTGAATCAGGGAATAGAAGCCATATACATGCCCATCGGTTGCATCTCTTAATAAGAAGCAGTCTTACAGTTTGGTGTTGGTCCATATTATTCTGCATAGGAGATTATCTAGGCTCAAGGCAAAATGAGAAACAGTGAAATAGCTATATTGTTCTGTAAGAGAGCATTTTTCCAGAGTCGCCTTCATCTGCAGAGTATTGTTTGGTGTCATGCAAAATTAAGGAATATTTAATTGCAGGAGCTAACTGTAGTTAATTTGTTGCTTGTTTTACCTGTGAAAGAAACAGAGGTGGTCAAGAATAGACAGATTTTAATAAAGTTTAGATAAAGTAATAAGCACTCCTCCTCTCCTCAGCTGAGTATAAACAGTAACAAGGCATTGGTGCAAAACCACCTGCACCTAAAAAGGTCTGCATCTACTCAGACACCAACTGGCCAAAGCTATACAGAAACCTGAATCAAAATGTTTCTAAACCTCACTGATAAAAGCCTGATACCTTTAAAGAGCCTGGGAGGCCTGCCACTCATGTCGAAGGAGCCAAGATTTCACCCCAAGGGTCTGGCACATCATGGCCAGTGACTGTGAATGAGCTTATTCACGGAGCGATCAGAGCTTGTGGGCGCCTGCTCCTTCCCCTGCTGTAGTCCAGCACTTTCACACTGTGGCTTTATTCACTGCCTTGATCTCAAATTCAGATGCTGTGTGGGTTCAACATTGTAAAAATAATCCTTTCTCCTATTGACAGCGTACCTTTATAGTACTTGAGCATGGAGATCAAACCGTCAGTCAACAGAAATACTTCTGATCTCTCCTTCTTCCAATAACTTTTTTTAAATACACTCCCTTTCCTCTCCCTTCCTGCCACATAAAAAACTCCCCTGTCTTGTCATTCAGGGATAAGTGTAAGTGGAAACAAAATAGTCACATTCCTTGGCTGCCCTTTATAAACCACTTTCTGCCAGTAACTGTCTTACCCTTCAAGGTACCAAGGTTGGGGTGGAAAACGATCAGTAAGGGTACACGTTTTAATAATTTCTCTTGAAATGGAAATAGTATAGACCTTAAATATACTCAACATGCTGGCCTGCATTTGTATGGATCAGCCCACATGCTTGTGGCCACTCACAACAGAGTGAAAACTTTCTGAGGGCATACTGGGGCAGCATTTAATGCTGTTTAGTTTAATTTGTACCCCCGTCTCTTCCAATTACTTTTCCGCTTTGAGCAAACATGCTGTTTCGTTATTTGCTGATACCAGCTGACCTTTGTGCAAGTAACCTTTATGCACCAAGTTGTAATCCTCAGATAGGGAGACCCTTCTTTAGATAGCAGCCTTGCTGACATGACTGCTTTCTACATCGTCATTTAGGATACCAATTAAATAAATTAAATCCTTATGCTCCTAAAACATACACTAGGTCAACATTTACATGCACAACCTTTACCTGTCATGTGACTCCTGTGTCCTGTTTAGAGCCCGTATGGGAGGAGAACCTATTTGGAGACCATATGGGAGCAGAATCCCTTCAAAAACATCCACTCCAGAGCTTCACACATGGCTTGTGAACTTTAGAAGGGCTGTTGGAGCTGTTTTACTCTCACACTGAGGTGATATTAAATAGACATTGAAATCTGAAGACAGAAAACAGGCATTCTAGCTTGGTAATGCACAGCAAAGCAAGGCCACCCTAAAGGAAGAATGGTGCTTTGTCATAGATGGTTGTGCTGTGGTGACTGCTTTAATCCTACACCTCTCCTCTCCTAGAGGTTTTTGGGAGTCCAGAAGGGAGAGTCAAAACCAGGAGAGCACTGGACTTCCATGGTAGTTTAGGTCTCGTTGAAAGTCTTTCCTGCAAAAGAGCTAACATCCCATGTGGAGCCCAAATCCAACAGATGAGTGTTACAGCCACCGCGATGGAAGCAAGGCGGGAAGTGGAGGGAGACTGTAATGAAAAAGAAAGCTGATGTTCATAGCCCTGTTCATAAGCACTTTAACTCACTTAAAATCTCACTTTACATATACCTGTATGCATATATTTCTGAGGAAAGAATACTTGGGAAAAAATACCATACAGCAAAATTGCAATCGGCAATAGTTTGTTAAATGCTTGGCACATTTGGTTTCTGCATCACCCATTGCCCAGTCCTTTCCAAATTCAACACAGGTGGAAAAATAGTAAAAGGTTTTTTCAGGCACCGTGAATACCTTTTCTTCTTTCACTATTTTTAACATAACCTCGGTCTTTGTAAAAAATAAACTAAGTAATTTAAAACAGTTTCTAAGAGCAGAAGGAACTATTGTGACCTGCACAATAGCTTCTCGCTGACTGATTTCTTCACTTATTCCATAAACTGTGACAGATTTAGAGTAACCTTTTTGAAAAACCAGCCATGATGCCCCTTGTTCTTTTCACAGATAAATGGCTGAAGATTGTTGCTGTAGAAAATTAACTCTAAATTTTGCTCCATCTTGAAAAAAAAAAAAACCAAAACGAACACCCTCCTTTGGCTCATGACATCCAGTTGCTCATAGGACAACGAAGCGGTGCCTCCAGATTGGCATATAGGATTAGGCTTTGCTCACATGCACTGAACTATCTGATTACAGCCAATGGGATTACTTGTGTGACACATAAGGCAAGCAGGATTTGACCTTAACATTTCATTTCAGGACCAGGCAAATAGGACAGAAATTGTGAGAAAGCAAGCCCTTGCCTTGCCAAATATCTTTGATAACCAGAGTAAACAATTGCCATTTGTTTTTCACATTTAATGTCTTTGAAAAATTCTCCCCTTGTATAAATGTTTTCTAGCAAATGTTATGTACCTTCCTACTTACATGGCAAATAAAGAATTAAAATAATACATGAACTGGCAGCTTTACATGCATACTTTGTATTTAATACTATCTGCAAACTGTCCGTTAAGCAGATTAAGATATGATTTAATTAAATATTAAGTTAAAACATTAAATTTTAAAAAGCGTATAGGAATGTTTTCTTCTTTTCACTTTCTCTTTCCTGTTAAAATGAGGAGATTTAAGTGACCTTAAATGATTAGGGAATTCCGTGCGGTTTTCAGCACACATTCTCTGAATTAGTATGAAGTTTTGGGGAGGTAAAAGTAACGGATAGCTCTTGCGAGCAAAGCACAGCAGATTTCCTCTCACGCTTTTAACAGACTTTTTTCACAATGTGATCTGCCTTATTTTAGCAATACTTTACCACAGCCGCCTTAATTGCCTGCTGCATGTGTTTCTTTTCAGATGCCAGGGTTAGAGGATGGTTCCTTTTGGACTCTTACCTTCCCACGTTTTTCCTTACTGGAGCATACCTACTCTGCATATGGCTGGGCAACAAGTTCATGAAGGACAGGCCTCCTTTCTCTCTCAGGGTTCACCTCATTGTGTACAACCTTGGGATTACACTGCTCTCCTTGTACATGCTCATAGAGGTAAGTGTTCTTCTATCCAGCGCAGCTGAGAAAGGTGAGCAATATACAGTTTTTAGCAGAAATATCTTAGCAACTGATAGTTTAGCTAGGAAATTTAACTTCAACAGCAAAGTAAGTTTAAGATCAAGAAAAGCCCCTTCGCAACTGGGTCGTGAGTTGTACAGTACCTTCTCAGCTTAGATCTTGGCATGTTTTAACTGTCCTTCCTGAGCTACGGTCCACACCTGGCGACAGCTGGCTGCTACCAGGACAGTGTCTACAAGCATGAATTTGAATCTGCAGCAGTCGCTCAGCTCAAACATGTCTACACCTCATTCTTCAGCACCCACGAATATGCCCATGGATTGGGCTTTATTTGTATGACTGTCTATGGAATTATTTTTCTATGTACAAATGCCCATGCTTAAATGTGATCAGATTCATAGATGAGAGTAAGTGCTAGTTTATTTATGGTATTGGCAATTCAATGTTATTTTTCTGCTCTCCTGACTAAGAAGCTTTCCTCATATAGTCAGACAGTAAGAGACAGATGTTAAAAACCTGCCACTTCAGCCAAAAGCAAGTGCTGTGACACTTGGAGGCTGAATATGGTCACACAGATTATTTCCCAAGTACTTATCAGGAAGGAACATGCTCACACAAATCAGGATCCCTTCAGAACCAGAAGAGAGATTTGAATGCATCTGACAATTTTGCAACAGCAGAGGACCCAAACAGCGCTCCTCAGCAAAGACGTGTGTTCTCACCTCCCCACAGTGGGGCGCAGAAGCCAAAAGTCACTATTTTGATATTATTTGGGAGCTCCCCATTCTCAGGCTCATGACAACCGAGTTACTTTTAATAGTAAAGTGTTAACATCCATCACTTGAGGCCCTAAAAAACAAACACTAAAAGACAAAAGCCACAAAACATTTTCTGACTTGGCTTAAAAAGTGGCCTTGGGCATGAGAAGCCCTGGCTGAAGGATGTGCTTGATTTCATGGTGTGACCTGAGGAGGTGTGACCTGACATTGCTGCCTTGCCTACACAGCCTCGCAGCATTTCTGGCTGCCTGGGCTCCCAGCCACAACAGCACTTTCCACGAGAAAAACAAGGACCAACTGTTCTGTCAGCTGGACAAGAAACTTTGCAGAAGCCAAACAGGACCCCAAAGATTTCAAGTTTTAAATTAATTTGAGCTAAACACCAGGTGACTGGCCTGGTCAAAAGGCTGAACAGCAGTTTAGGTTTGTGCCTTTGTGCAAAGGACCGATTGTGCTACACAGAGCTTTGCCCTGGTCAGCACTCCCGCTGGCTTCAGCGGTTGCTGTGGGTGTCTGAGAGGGCAGCATCAGGCCCAGAGCAAAGGAGAAACCAGCACAATTGCTGGAAGGCTTGATGACTCCATACTGATTGTCCTCCAGAATTTAAATTAGCACTTTGATGTTTAAATCCCCATTTTGCTTGAAGGTATACAGATAACTGTCTTCAGCAGCAGGACTCAGAAAAAAGGATTAACTGAACAGAAAACAAAAATACTGCTCCCTTCCCCTCGCAGGCTGATTTGGCCTGCCACAAGTAAATGAATGAACAAACAGAATTTTAGCAGGTCTTGCTTACATCAATGAAGCAAACTTCATTTTTGCCACTTTCGCATCCTTGTAGGAATTGCGTTGAGCCAGCTCCCGTTCAGCCGCCTCACTGCACTGTCCTTCCTGAGGCTAACTTTACTGCAGACGATCGCTAAGTTGCGTTAGTCCTCAGATTAGTCCCTTTAGACCTTGATTCTGTAGCGGGAGACTGCTGATTTATGCCTCCCAGACTGCAGCTGGGCATGGCTGGCAGTGGCTCGTAGCTCCACATTCTGCATTTTTCAGGAACCCGGGGGACACCACGACTGATCTGCACTGCCAGCTGTTTTACTGCAGATTTCACTCTGGACTGTCAGCCAGGCTGGTTTTACACTGCACTAAAACACTCTTCGATAATAGTAGCTCTGTATTTTTTCATAGTCTGCTTGCCTGGTTCCTATCACAGCTTCTCCTATGAAGGAGCAGAATGGAAGTTAAGACTTGCAGACCTGCCTGAGGTAGCTTGCACATCCCTGCTGAAGGAAAGCACGCAAATGGGAGAGCAGAAATCATCTTCAGTACTGAATAAAGTTATGGTGACTCATCACTTCAAAATGTCTCATTTCCGAAGCTTCTCTCTGGCCTTTATTCTCTCTTTTATGGAGAGTAAGCTCTTTAAGGCAAGAGTTACCTATATTTAGAGCTATCCGCACAGTGGTTTCTTATGTAAACACAGCTGATCTCTCCAGTGAGTATGATTCAGGATTAATTCCTAGTTAGAGACATCTCAAACAGTTGCCTTATTCCTCCATCCTTCCACTGCACCCGAACCCCTCTGGTCTCTGTAACAGAGATAAATCACAAAATAAGCTCTATAATAGAGATAAACCACCAAAAAAAACAAACAAACAAACAGTTATTGGCAATATTCTTCTTATCTCGTGTTGGTTTTGTTTATAATGTGCCACACACCTTTTCTTGTTGTAGCTCCAGAATGGAGTAGGTGCTGCTTAGACGTTCAAAGGAAAAATATCTCATTCAAAAGAAAGGATGTACCTCCAAATGCAGACTGTCCCACATGACAGCTTTAATGAGAAACATGGTAAACCAGCTGATGGGGCTACCTGTGCTGCAATTCTTCATCTCCGCACTTTCATCTCCTGACCCAGTTTAGCTGTCGCTTGACTACAGTTGATTTCTACAACCTCAAGGCAAGAAAACAAAGGTTATAGCAAGGAGTCATAACAAAAATTATGTTTTTTAAATCTCCAAGGGCACATTCCTCTTTTGAGCCAGAGCTCCATACACTGCACCTTGGGCAGCTGATTTTAGCTCCATGAGCTTTGAGGTCAACCAATCCTTAAAGTACTTGGAGGAACAGCTCCAGGACAACTCTAAGATGTGCCATTAGCATAAGGTCAGACACCCCTACTATCCTCAAAGGACAAGGTCTACAGAAAAAGACCTCTGCCCAGCTGCCCTCATCCTACTAAGATGTCTCAAAATTTTTGTGTCAAGAAAGAGTTAGGTGCCTTTGAAGGCCTTCCAGAACGGCAGCTTATTAGACCTTAATTTAGGCTTCTGAGTTAGGCAAATGGATTTTCTTGAAGTCAAAGGCACTTAACCTCTGCCCATTGAATATAACGGAGAAGTGGGGCACTTGGTTTTGGAGGATGGCTTTTTCAAGTACCTGAAGCTTAGACACAAGTCCTGTGCTTAAATTAGGCAGGCTGCGGGTGCACTGCTGAGGGGCCAGAAGACAATTCCCTCCAACCTTGCTGCTACAAGAGAAACCTCTATCAGAGGTTTGTTATTGGTTGTGTACTCTTCCGTACCATTAAATGTTTATAGACTCAGATCACGTCTACTGATCCAACAACTTCTAGTAACATTGCCAAGAATCTGCATAAAGAAAAACAACCAGCAACTTTTTTTAGTTAAAAAACCCAAAACTTTTAGCAATTTCACTGAAGAAAAAACTGCCTTTCCTCTGCAAAAGTCTCTGCCTAAGATCTTGAAAGTACCAACTATGAGCAGAAAACCAGCTTACTGTGAAAAGCAATCTTTGCATATTTTAAAATTATTTCATGTGCAAGTCAACTCACAAACCACACTCCAGGGATGCAGTCTGAGGCGCCAGAGGCCAAGATAAGTTTTTGAAGCTCACCGCAGGATAAAACTGTCACAACTCTAATGATAAATTAAAATTGGAAACAAAGACCACCAATGCTGATCTCTGAATTGTGAAATTACTCAGGTGAGGATACCCTCTCTCATTCATAGGAAAAGACATAATCTCTACCACGGTCTTATGCTGCTTTCCCCAGCAGTATCACCTCTGCCCTATTTAATTTAAATCTCAGCTAGTCATCAAGCTCTCACCCAAGTTCTTTTGTTGATCAGGCAGTGAGAAAACCAGGACACTAGCACCATCTGGGTCAGATTAAAAAGGAGATCTAGAGATATGTGTCATTAGCATAGGGGTGGCGTGATGTCTCAGGCTGCCTGTATCCCCAGGTAGCTTCAGAGACTTATTACAAATCCATAGGATTCGTAAGCAAGCAACCACATCCATGTGAGGAAGCAGGACTTGCATATGAGAACCCCTCGATTCAGAGCAAGGGGGAAAGAGCAGAACTGCACAAGTATTGCAAGCCCAGTGCATTAACCTTTTTAGTGAAGCCAGAAGAAAAGTCTTTTACCTTACAGGATTTAAAAAAAAAGGAGCAAATTACCTTCATTTTACCTGTTTCTAGGAGCTGAAAATTCACCCCACAGTAAGTCCAATTTCTGAATTACAGCCATGACTTGCAGATCCATAGGTGCCAAGACATTGTGAGGATTCCCAGGAGTACCAGAATTGCTTTCTCTGTATCCTTTGATAGCAGGGAAAGCTCAGAAGCACAATGCTGGCACAATCAGGGCTACCAGACACCATTTTTAGCCCTACACATTGCAACTGGGATTACATCTCACAAATTATTAGAAAGCCCAGTATAATGCCTGGATTTGGGATAACAGTGGGCAAAATGAAAGGAACAAACCAAAAATAGAAGAAGTACTTAAACTCTGTTTTATTCCATCATTATAATGGCTGACATCAGATAGATTTGCTTCCTAGCTGTGTAAGTCTTAAAAAGATAGAACTTGAGTAGCAGAAGGTCTAAGTAAAGTTTTAACAGTGCAGGTGATGAGGAAAGGCAAAAAAGACATAGATCCTAGCTGATTTGAACTGTCCTGGAATTTTACTATAGAAATCCAACTTCCACATAATGATTTTCTTTTTTTAAGATTGTAATAAATGATTGTTTACTCCTTAATTAATTGTTCAGAAGTTAGCAAATGTAAATTTAGCAGAGAAGTAAGGAATGATTCTAGATCTATAAGGACTGGTACTTGAGGTGAAGGCTTCCTTTGAAGCAATTCTTTAATTAGGACAGAAAGACTATC